TCTTCAAAAATTGTCCAAGAGCTTCTGTAACTTCGTCGAACTTGGAACCAATTTTAACCTTTACAGTGACTTTTCTGTCAAGCCAGTACCATCGGAATTTATTCTTGACATTTGAGTCAATTTCTAGGATTGAAGACTCCTGATCTTTCGTCAAAACGTTCATAATTCCGCTCAAAACGATCCCAGAACAATGAATTTGCGAGACGAACAGGCCGCCATGAATCAGGTAAACAATATGTTACATGCAATTTGATTGGTCCAAGCGCTTGTAGTTAACCAATCCCTGGGCCGTATATATAATCGAGCTGTGATCTGATTAGTTAAAGCTTTCATACACGTCCAATCGCAGGGCTGTTTACAAACGGAAAACGGAGAGACTGTTCGGGAGAGCTCGCGAAAACTCGACGATAAGGTACCTGACCGCCCCTAAAATTTTCTCAACGGATTTAGACGATTCACAAAAATGATCAATTTAAGAAATAAAATGGCGGATTTCCGCGGATCCGCGGAAAATTGCCATGTATGTAATATGCATGTTTTTAATGGAAATGCCAACCAGTTATTCTGTGATGAATTAATATTAACTTGTCTGCAAATTTATCTCAATTAACATTTCACTTTTTTTATCAACTTTCCTATGAATTTCTCAGATCATTGCATATTCCGAGATACAGAAGTGTGAAGATGCCAGCCCCACTAATTGAGATTGCAACAATTTTCACCACTAATGACAGCAGTGAGTCTCAGATGTTAAACTTGACTCTATTCACTGTCCACTTGAATTTCAGCATTAACTTGCCAATGTCATCCGTCAATCCATTTTCTAATCCATTTATCCTCACGGGGGTCGCAGGCATGCTACAGCCTATCCCAGATTTCTTCGGGCAGTAGGTGGGGTACACCCTGAACTGGTTGCCAGCCAATCGTAGGGCATACATTGACGAACAACCCTTCGCAATCACGCTCATGCCTATCCCAATCAACCTGCCATGCATGAGTTTTGGAATATGGGAGGAAACCAGAGTACTCGGAGAAAATCCACACAGCCACGGGGAGAATATGCAAACTCCACACAGGAAGGCCGGAGCCAGCATCAAACCCTTCACCTTTGCACTGTGAGGCCAACATGCTAACTTGTCGACCACCGTGCGGCCAGGCCAGCATTAACATTAAATATTGAGGATTAGTGTTAATTTTCTACTGCAGGTTATTTTTGACACTGCAGCAAGACCAAGACCAAATAGACTAGGATAGTGTTAAAGTTGACAATAGAACATTTACTGTGCGTTACAAAAAAAAAAAAAAATGTATGAAACAGGATGTGCACAGGCAAGAGTACTGCACATCCATTCATGTCCAGCATGGCTGAAGACAAGACTTTTTGTTGCATCTGCGCCTGAAAATGTAACCTTTTTAAAATGGAAGGATTACACAATGCTACATTGAGTGCAATATGTTGAACAATTAGTTATTTGTTCATGCAGTGACAGTGGTGGCATCTTTGGCCTTTGAACGTGCACATTTAATTTGGATGCCTTTGCTCTACTTGAAATATTGAACAAGAAGAATGACAGACTACCAACATCCACGTTTGCCATGTAAATGTGATCAATTGTCTCTGCATTGAACATTTCCTGTACCAAGTGCATTTAACCCAAACCCTGCTACAGTATATCCAAACACTCACCCATGGGAGTGAAGAAAAGATAGGAATCAACACAGAATATTTGTTTCCTCTTGCCCCCTTTCACATTCTTTTCCTCCACAGCGGCGTCTCACTGACTTTTCCAAGTTTGTGCTCAGCTGTAATTTAGCAAGTTCTGCCAAAGCACTGTCTGTCATTCACGCCGCATTGAGAGACAAGTACACTCAATGAAATAAATATTGAAAGATTGATATCATGTTACAATAACACCCTGACACCTATACTCACCAGAAAGTTCATTTTTCCCTTGCTGCAGTTCCCAGAGCCCTTGTGAAATATATTTCCAACCAATTTGATGAGCTCGTGTCTCCTCCTCCCCACAAGCTTCCACAGTCCACGTATCTTTCTATGTCCTCCCTCCCTTCCTCAGTAAAATTTCTTCCCCTCTCTTGTACAATCTTGCCCTCGAGTATCAAGCAGTTCTCGACACATTCTGCTGCTCTGTGATCTCACACAACAAGAATGAGGCTGTTGTTTGTTACGTCTTGCCCCTTCTGGTGCCCTCCCTCTCGCCTGAGGAAAGGTGGGAGGAGTGTGTAACCCAACACGTCACTTACAGTTGGGTCCTGAAATTTCCCTGAACCAATCTGACCAATGGCTCTAAACTGTGTCAGTCAAAACAAATAAAACCCTGAGCCCCATCCTCTCTTCTCTCTAGTTCTTTCTTGCCTTCAAAGTTGTGTGTCACAGCTCTCTGGCTGTGACACACAAACTCTCCAGTGGTTGCAAGATAGAATAGTATAATGGATATATCCTTCATTTTTTACAAAGGTACTGCGATGGTTTCATATTCAACTGTGCTCAACTTAAAGAAGGTATTTGAAGTTTAAAAAACACACTTTTTGTTGTACGCATTAAATATATAACAAAATACATATATATGATGCCACTGTCAAAGCTCACCTAACTTGAATACATTGATTTATTTGCTACGTTTTACGTCCTTTTCTGCCTCAGTAGCGAAAATGCCACAGCTGGTGGTGTACGGTTGTACCAAAAGGTCTGGAAGAAACGGTATATGCACATTTCATCAGTAAGAATGAAATAATAAATGTTCTCTCATAAGGTATATCTCAGGGTTCTACTCAAAGATTTGTTTGCATCATGTTGTCAGAACCATGAACATCCATCCATCCATCCATCCATTTTCCGATCCGCTTATCCTCACATGGGTCACAGGCATGCTGGAGCCTATCCTGGCTGTCTTCGTGCAGTCGGCGGGGTACACCCTGAATTCATTGCCAGCCAATCACAGTGTACACATTGACGAACAACCATCCATGCTCACAATTACACTTTTGAGTGTTCTATTGACCTGTAACGTTTTTGGAATGTGGGCGAAAACTGGAGTACCCGAAGAAAACCTGCGCTGACACTGGGAGAACATGCAAAATCCACACAGGAAGGCCAGAGCCGGAATTAAACCCTGCACCTCTGCACCATGAGGTCGACCACCGTCCCGCCCTGAAACATGAACAATGAATTGAAATCAAAGTCCATCAAGGAAAAAAAGAATAATAAATTGTACATGATCACGATACTGAAATAATTACTCCATACATGGATTCTGGCATCAAAAAAGCACTGATAAGAGTAGTTTCAGCGGAAAAAAAATAACAGAATCTGTCTGTCATGATTCTGTTCCGTTTTGTTTCATAGTTCCAGCTGGAGCGGTGGGCGTTTCCCTCCAGCGGTGCACCTGTCTCAAAACATGATCAGCCAAGTATACCTTGACTGCCATGTTGACAACCTGATTGTTTCTCATCTTGCTCATGACTTGGTCTCCAAGTGTTGATTTCTCTAGACATTCTTTTTGGTTCACGTCATGGAGTTACTCGCCTCGTTTTTGCATTTTGATAGTATTTTTGCTGCGCAAATCCAGTCTCGGTTTTAATCTGTTGCGGTTTGTCTTCTTTCTTCTCTGTTTACGACAAGCTATTTACATTTATACATTCCGTGCCTTTTGGTTTGATTCGTTTTCCTGGTTTTTGTAACAAGCATCATTTGTTGTACTTTGACGGTCTTGTGTATTTTTGTATAATAAATTATTTTTGTTCAAACCCATCTGAGTCCATGCTTCCAGAGTCCAATTCTGTTCCGGAACCACCTCAGAACCGTTACAATGTCAGTAAAGGAGGCAACGCAAGATGGCGTCACTCTGGCCTCATCTCAGATTCTTGTTTGTGAGAGTCACACAAATATGAATATCATGAGTTTATCGTATCTTTTTACCCCTTTACACAGCTTGCACTGTGGGTGGAATTATTAATTATTGTTTGATCAGGTCATGTTCAATAAAACAATCATTATAATTGTGTTCCTCCCATATCCTAAAAACATACATGGTAAGTTAACTGGACACTCTATATTGTCCCTAGGTGTGATTGTTAATGTAAATGGTTGTTTGTCAATGTATCCCCTCTGCAGCTGCTCTCCAGCACACCTGCGACCCTAGTGAGGATAAGCGGTTCAGCTGATGGATGGATGGATTGATTGATATCGGTGGCACATTAGTCGACTAGTTAGCAAGTCTGCCTCACGGCGCAGAGGTCATTGGTTCAATTCTGGGCCCCAGCCTTTCTTGTGGGGTTTGCATGTTCTCCTCGTGCCTGTGTGGGTTTTCTCCAGGTACTCTGGTTTCCTCCCATATTCCAAAAACATGCATGGTAGCTTAACTGAACACTCTATATTGTCCCCTGGTGTGATTGTGAGCGTGAGTGGTTGTTTGTGTGTAGGTGCCCTGCGATTAGCTGGCAACCACTTCAGGGTGTACCCCGCCTACTGCCTGAAGTCTGCTGGGATGGGTTCCAGCACGCCCACGACCCTTCTGAGAATAAAGCGGTTCAGATAATATACATACTGAATTCAAAAATGTTAAAAGATGTATATCATATTAAAAGATGGATTGCGTGATTTGTTCAACCAAGGCTGTTGTATGAATATAATACTATTTTCATACTACATTTGTGAAATCCCATAAAGGGAATTCAACATGCCAGCAGTAAAGACAGAGACTAGAGTATGTAACTACAGTAAATCCAAATTCAAAATCACGCTTGAAACACCAGTAGCTGTCTGAATGGCTGGCCTGCAAGCTCGTTATTCCCAACATGTGGGCATAAAACCAAAGGGGTTCCGAAAAAAAATTGTGGCGGCGGTCTGGTCTGATGAATGTCAATTGTAATGACAGCGTGTTCAGTCTTGTTAGCCTACATTGTGTAATAGAAACGTAATTGCAAAATTAAACCAATAGCGAAAAACATTAGATACTGAGACCGACAGTTGACACACTTACGGTGACAGACATTTTGCTGGTTTACGTCCTTAATCCTGGCTGTAAAACGAACAGTGATTCCTTTACGCCTTTTTCAAGCAGGGCGATTCCTTCAAGTCTTTTTCATCGGAAACGGGTATATCCACGGCTCCCGGAGAGTTCGTCCTTCTTCCTCTAATCATAATTTACTCCAACGAAGAGCCTCCTTCGGCCTCGCTAAAAATGCTTGATTAAATCTTAATATGACAACCGTGCTTTTACTGCAAGTCAGCAATTTCGCCCTAGTTCATTTACGTATGTGTACGAACAAATGCAGAAACGTTTTCAATTAAAAAAGAATCCGACACATCTCAATAATACGCACGAGACGCTTGTTAAGTGGAGCAGACCACCACATCTGTCGGTGACTGTCGATATTTACCGTCGAAACGGAAAAACCTTAAAGGGGCCGCCCCATTCCTGTTCAGTCGAGCTGTCCCAACTTCGTTTGGATATTGTACTGTAGTTTTTAAGGAAGGAAAAAAAATACATTCATTTTCGCCTCCGTTACAAAAACGTCATCGTCCACCAATTTTTTAAAAAAAATTCTGCCCAAATGAAATGTAATGGAAGATCATTCCCGACAGTGAAAAAAAAAACGTACTGACAAATTAACGAGGGCAGGAAACCCGTTTCCGCCTGTTTTTTTTAACCTCCCGATGGCAGACATAAAGATGACATATTTAGGAAAAGTTAAAAAGAAAACATCCCAATGGTTTTGGGACGTGTTGCACCAAAGCAAAAGAAGAGAGTGAGAAACGTAGTGAAGGTCACCCACATAGTGCATGCTTTTCTTTAATGTGGATCAGCTATCACATGTATAAAAACACAATTTACAAAACCTTCATAACGGCAACTTTTAGGTTGCCATGGATCATATCTACACAAAGCCAGGTAATCAAGTCAGCGTTTCAAATGTTGCTTGCCAATGGTAACAGCAGTGGGACATGTCAATTCTTAAAATTTGATAGATTTGTCTGTAGCTTTTTTTTTCAGCCCTTGACAAATTGCTAAATATAACATTTTATGAACAATCCATGATTACAATCTTCATTAAATGTATGTTATTTTAAATATTTGATTTCTGGGGCAGCCCGGTAATTGAGTGGTTAGCACGTCGACTTCACAGTGCAGAGGTACCGGGCTCAATTCCAGCTCCAGCCTTCCTGTGTGGAGTTTGCATATTCAACCCATGCTTGCGTGGGTTTTCTCCGGGTCCTCTAGTTTCCTCCCACATTCCAAAAACACTCCAAAAACGGTTGCTCGTTTCTGTGTGCCCTGCGATTGGCTGGCAACCGGCTCAGGGTGTCCTCCGCCTACTGCCCGAAGACAGCTGGGATAGGCTCCAGCCCCCCCCACCCTACTGAGGATAAATCGGTTCGGAAAATGAATGAATGTATGAATGAATGATTTCTGGCCTGCGCATACAGAATAAGTGCAAAATGTATTATTTTCCTCATGACATTTCAAGAAAATTTGTCTCTGACTCAAGTGAAGCTGATCACTTTTGTGAATGACCGATACTAACTGAAGACCATGTAATAATGAATTGAGATTTACCAAGATGAAAACATTTGCTAAGCAAAGCAGCCTATGTTATTGTTCCTTATGTGTTTCATTATTATGATGCACTTGCTTACTATTGATTGTGGAATGAATGTAATTCCAAAAATCATATCGAAAAATGTGGGTTTCAATTTGCACAGCTGAATTGTATTGTGTATTGTGAGGTTGAGCTTGTTTCAATTTGTTCATGTTGGAGGCTTTTCTAGCATAAACTGCCGGTTTATGGTCATACCTACATCTCATTTGGGTTTACTGAGTCCAGATTTGGACTTGGCCACTCCAAAACCTATATTTATTTTTTGCTGCATAAGGCAAAAGAGTTGGAGCTTGAGGAGAGAAAAAAAAAAAACAATTGACCACAACCAAATGGCTTGCTAAAGCAGCCCTTGTTATTGTTCCTCATACTCGTGTTTACTATTATGGGTCTGCTCATGAAGCAGGGCACTACATTGACCTGCTGCTAAGCCATAAAGGTAATGCTTTACAATTAAAGCGGCCTGAACATAACCCCACAAATTATATAATAAAATCTGTGTCTCGATTGCCCCAGTTGCGTTGTGACATGTATCGCCAAGTTGAAAGGACGACATAACAGAAAAGTCTGGGAGAGAAAATGTCTCAGTGTCACACAGGTCACATCGTGGTGGCAAGTGCAAATACGATGCCCTTGAATAGAAGTACAGATACTCGTGTACATGTACTTATTCAACTCCTACACTTAAGATAAAAAGTACAAACTCTTTAGTACAAAGCTAATAACTCATACCAGAAATAAGACTAAGATCAAAATGTTCCATTGCTGCTTTTAAATTGGACCAAGAAAACCAAAACCGGTCTGAAGTCTTTGCAAATGAAGACCCAAATATTTTCAGTCGACCACAATCTCTCTACATGATAAACATTGTTCATAATGGATGACGAAAGGGAAAGAGAATGCATGAAAAACAAAAAACATTCTAAATATTAATAAAATGCAGAACAAAAGATGCTTGAATAAAGTATAAGACCTTTTGAAATAAATTTGTTAATATAAGAACAAGCAAGAGAGCTCTTTATCACGCATTACTAGAGCAGAATAAAAGCAACACATAATAAATATAGAAAATACAAAATTCAAACATTCAAATAGCTCTAAAAACAGACGATCCAGAACACTGAATTACAGATAAAAATACTATCATTGATAAAATTGCAGAAATAGTTAATGAGTTGAAAGAATATTTTGTAAATGTCGGTCGCAACCTAGCAAAAGAAATCCCTGAGCCAAGAAGCCAAAATGACTCTTCTACATATTAAAAACAAATCCTCCACCATGTTGCTTTTGTGCTGTAAACGATTAAATGTAAACACACACACACACACACACACACACACACACACACACACACACACACACACACACAAAGTCTCCGGATTGTTTTCATATTGACATGACAGTAAAATGTATTGTAGAACATGGATTGTTTTCATATTGACATGACAGTAAAATGTATTGTAGAACATGCGGTGCAACCTTTCACATTTATACTGGATGTAACCTGTTTTTCGACGCTGGCATATTTCCATCAAAAATAAAGACGCAAAGTCTATTTCTCAAAGTAATTTCACTACTCCCACAGATTATCACGGTGATCAAAGGATTAACAGAGATTAACGGTATAACTAACACCTTCTGAAAAAAAGGTGTTCCTCCGCCTGGTGGTACTGCTCCAGATGCTCAGTAGCCTCCTGCCTGAGGGGAGAGGATGGAAGAGGGGGTGTGCCAGGAAGGGTTGCGTCCTTAGAGCTTGAAATAAATGTGCTTATTTAATCTTTATATCGACCCATTTATTTTTAAAAATTGGATTGACCTTTTATTAATTTCCGTAAAATCACGACATTGAACTGTTTTACTCCAGGTCTTTATTCTAAATTGTACAAAGTTAAAAAAAAAAAAATCAATACTTAACCATATCGATCAATATAAAATTACACTTTTGAGCCATATTGTTCAGCCCTGGGGTTGTTGGGCCCATCACACGGACATGCTTGGACCAAAATTCGATCGGGAACATTTGTTACATTTGTCCTTCCCTTGGGTTCAAAATACTGACCAAACAAATGCGTTTGTCAAACTGACAATATTAGTCCATCTTTGATGTGCGTCTGGATGTTTCTTTTCGGTTGGAAGTTTCCAAACTGAATTTCTTTTTCCGTCTTTGCTAGAACTTGTTGGAGCTTTGCAATGGTGTTTTTTTTTTTTTTTACGCCAATATTCAAACCTATAAATTCCATTAGAGTAGTTAAACATGGCACAAAGTGCACCTGTCGTTTTATTACTTAAGGCTTAAGCCTATTAAACAATTCCTGTGAGCTTTATTGAGCAGACATTTTTGGACCAGCATACAAAATTCCAATGTCCACTCTTTTGGTAGCCATTGTTTTTTTTTTTTAACGTGAATGCGCAGTTGAGATCTGCAAGTCGCTTACTGAATTGTGAATGTATTTATTTTCTCTTGTAACAGGCACTCCAAAAGTGTCAACAGGAGGGATGGAGGACCGTCCGTATGTTTCATGTAAATGCTATGAACTATTGGTATATGAATGCACAATAAATTAATAAACGATGAGAACGACATTTTTGCATTTACTAGCCCAAACAACAACTCGGCAATGAGAGACAAAGGACCTTTTAGCCCACATGCTGCTTTATTCACAATTGTCGGAGGCGGAGGGTACACAGGAAGTTAAAGTTGGATAAAATAGTCAGTGTTATTTCAAACACAGAAATAATCACCGAGAAACATACCGGTAATTAATCACAGCATAAAATAGCAGAAGGGTTGACCTGAAATTCTGCTCGTCGGTTTTCCATGGCTGTAAACCAGATTATGTTCACTGCCAAAAAAAGGCTGTCACCTTCAATGAGTAAAGTTTATAATACAGAGAGAAAAACTTGGCCTTGATATCACATTTATTACAAACTCGGACAATTATTATTCGAATAATGAAATATACTTGAGACAAAGAAGCATTGGAACTCACTTTACCGAGGAAATATGACAGTCGCGTTTTATGAGGAATACTTCATGTTTTTTAGACGCACTGCTTTCTCCATCTCAAACTGTCTGTGATCAACACGCTCCAAGAAGTTCTTCCGTTCCACATACCTTGACAGAGAAAATAGGATAAAAAAAAAGGTGTGTGAGACCAACTTTTACATTCACAAATCCGCAAAGAAAGGACAGTAAGTACCGAGATGTGTGAAAATAAGAAGAGACCAAAAAAAAAAAAAAAAAACATTAAAATAGAAGGTCATTCACGGTTTGAATGTGTGCAAAGATGCAAATGTCGCAAAGTATGGATGCCACAGCAATAAAAATGCAAGAGGCTTGAATTGAACATATTTACAAGATCTTTGCACTTGAAAAAAAATATTCAATATGAAGGAATGAATTGGAATTTAGGAGGGGGGAGAAAAGTTCTGCAGTGTATAAAGACATTAATTAGTCATAATGGGACCTATTTTTCTGACAAACTCTCTTCTCACTCTGCCCACTTTCATCTTTTTTAACTAATCTTGGGGCCCATGTCAAATGTCGTTTTTAGTTGTTCTATTTATTTTTTTGTCGTGCCATGGGCCGCTGAAAAGTGGATGGTGGGCCGCAAATCGCCCGGGGCCTTAGTTTGGACACCACGGCTATATCAACCAGTCTATTTGACTTTTTTAATAGTTGACTTGGATCTCTGAAAGCTGAACTATTAAATGTTAAAATAAAATCACTAAGTTCAACCTTTTTTCTCCGGGTCCTTATTTTGAGTTGTGCAAAGTTTTAAAATAAAAACTCAACACTTATCCATATCGAACAATATGAACCACTGAGATCGCGTTACAATTTTGAGCCTAATTGCCCAGCAGAGGGTCATGCTGGGGCCACAATTTGGCCCGGGAACATTCATTAACGGCGGCCTTCATGCGCCAAAAAATAATCATCGACTGGTTTGCCATGCAGCAGTATTGAAAAAATATCATTAACGAGGGGATGCGTCCACCATGCAATGAAAAGGTGCCATTGACGGGCCGTCATGGGACACCCTGAACTGGTTGCCAGCCAATCGCAGGGCACACATAGACAAACACGCTCACACTTCGGGACAATTTAGAGTATTCTATTAACCTGCCATGCATATTTTTGGAATGTGGGAGGAAACCGGAAGACCGGAGAAAACCCACGCAGGCACGGCGAAACATGAAAAGTCCACACAGGAAGGCCGGAGCCGGAATCGAACCATGCACCTTTGCACTCTGAGGTGGACAGGCTAACTAGTCGACCACTATGACACCCAATCACAAGTTAGTACAAGTTAATTCTTCAAGACCCACCCATCCATTTACATGTTGTGTTTTTCAACAGTACTACCCAACAGTACTAATAATTCGACATATATGACTAAAACTAGACAAGCACACGCAGCCTCCGTTGCCCAAATGCGAAGTGGGTCGTGAGCGCTTCAGTGAATGGGAGTGTGCTGGATGGAAAGCCGTCCTTTATAAAGCAGATCATGCTAGTTACGTTCGATGGTTGTCAACGTGGCAAAGGACATGTCCAGACTTCGACATTTCTTTATTTAATTTACACAGGAAAGATTGAACCTGACGCGGTCAACCTTCTGTGTGCATTCTGCAGAGATGAAAGTGGACTTTTCTGAAAATTCCGGAATGAATGAATGAATAAATAAATAAATAAATAAATAAAGGTGTATATGTGTGTGTGTGTGTGTATATATATATATATATATATATATACACACACACACACACATATACACCTTTATTTATTTATTTATTTATTTATTCATTCATTCATTCCGGAATTTTCAGAAAAGTCCACTTTCATCTCTGCAGAATGCACACAGAAGGTTGACCGCGTCAGGTTCAATCTTTCCTGTGTAAATTAAATAACCACTCAAGCTAAGCGAGCCTCAGCAGTAGATAGTCCGCTGCTCTCTGCTGTGCGTGCTTCAGCGCGAACATGTACGCAAGCGCGTCTTTTGATTTTAACCAATCAGCGTCGACGCAAATGACGTCACACATAACAACAGCTAAGCTAAGTTAGCCGAGACGACACTCGAAGTCGGACGGACACGATTTTCTGCCAATCTGTGTTTTTCCCTTTTTGGCCAAATATATTTTTTACTACAACTGTCTTCTTGACGGCGTCTTTTATTCGTTCCACTGGGGTTTAGCAGGTGTGTTTATAAAGAGACGAAAATTGTTTGGGGACTATCCCTCACCTTCTAGTTGAGATGGTATAACCCAAGAGGCAAAATGACGCTTGCTACTGTTGTTGGAGTTGCCATTCGTTCTACTAAACCATTAGTCAAACGCCATCATGTCTTCTGTCGTGATTACACAAACAAAAATCTCTTTACCGTTACTAGTGTTAGTGCCTCAATATGGCTACGCTCGTGAAAGCAATACAACGAACTCAAACGCGTCTTCGTTCAATGTTGTCAACTAATATCCGGATTAATTTTATTATTTATTTTATTTTCCTCAATTCTCCGGAGAAATTTTCATAAAAATTTGAAAAACCCGGAATTCCGGGAAAATCCGGAGGACTTTCATCTCTGATTCTGACAGGCGGACACAGCGGTGGACCTCCTTCACTATATGTACCGGTAGGAGCAATAAAACATGCACTCGCGCTGGGCGATCGGATTAAATTTTTACTCAGCACACATTGAAAAAAGCAGGAGCGTTTGCAAGTGTAACAGTCACATTTGCGAGCCCTGCAGACATGGCATGACAGTCCTTTTCAACATTCAACTAATAAATCACAAAAGACACAAATTATAAGGGAGGCGGGATTTCAATCTATTTCACAGTTAGGGTGATAATAAAAACGAGGGACGACACAGATCATTAGTATCTCTTACCCTTCTCTTCCCCTGTTGTGTATTGCCAGCTCCTCAGTGATACCCTCCTCATATTTAAAAGCATCCCAGTCCATCTTTGACTTCTCCAGCGTGCTCATTTTTTGTTTCTTTCCCCCAATACGACTCAGTAAACTGGACATGCCTGCTGGGCGTTTGGAACTGCGAACACAAAATGGAGATGTTTCACTTGACAGCTGATCAAATCACTAATACAGCATATGTAAATATCCTTAGACTGTATCAAATTTCGTGAATGGCGAGATGACCAAGTTAACATTCATACACGAGCTGAGCTCTCTCATCCCTTTGAGTGGGACAACTTTGCTCACACAATCGGTGCCTGTCCCAATACTTTTTGCCCCACTGTAATTGATTGTGTGGTTCATCATACCTGGGGCCAGGACAGCTTGATTGGTTGGAAGATGTGGGACTTTCTTCGCCTGTCTTCTCTTGTGTACACTGGCTCTTGAAATGGATCTTTGCTTCTCTGGAGTCTGCTGATACTTCTTTATTGACTCTAACAAAGCAAGAGACAGTGAATATGCAAATCAAAGGCGGCAGAAAATAACGTTTTCAAGCTGTTTGTGATCGGTACATGACAGAATATACATAAAAAAAAAAAACAACATCCTTGGTGGGATAATGACATATAGTACCTGACTTCTTCTCCCGCGAAATCAAAAACTTTCACGATGGTGACTTTTGCTGTATCCGATTCCTGTGATTCAGTTCTCATACAAACATTAGAAGCAGAAGGATTAGCCTGAAGAAGAAGAACAACAGATTGTTAGAATATCAAGTAAAGTGAAACTACTGTTCCCTAAATAGACCTCCACAAAAGACACCGTGTTCCAATTCCTCTCCAGAGTTGCTCACGGTGAGAGGCACAGAGCAGCATGCGAGCAGTGGTCTGTTAATGAACTACTGCGCTCATCACAAATTATGTTCAAAACTCAAGCTTGTCCAAATGCGCACTTCGCACCAGGACACCCTCGGACACAGTTTTAAGATCGACTTCAGGGTTGTGTCAGCAGCCTTGCAGCCAATGTCTTGGACACGCAAGTGAAGAGAGGGGTGGAGCTGTCAAGGGATCACCACCTGGTGGTGAGTTGGCTCAGATGGTTGGGGAAGATCCTACCAGGCATATGCGAATGGATTTAGAGGGTCGGCTGGGAACGTCTGACAGAGTCCCCTGTCATCAGGAGTTTCATCTCCCACCTTTGGGATAATTTCCATCATGTCCCTGAGGAAGCACGGGACAGTGCCGCGTCTCCGTTGCTGAAGTAGCCGACTGGTGCTGCGGTAGCAAGGTGGTCAGTGCCTGTTATAGCAGCAATCCTCAAACCAGTTGGTGGACTCCGGCGGTGGGGTATGCCGTCAAGCATCTTCCCGTCGTTCCTAAAGGCTCTGGATGCCGTCCTGGTTGACATATGGCTGTAACATGGTATGGGTGTCAGGCAAAGTGCTTCTGGATTGGCAGGCCGCGGTGGTGGGTCCCCTGTTTAATTCATCCAGTACCAGCCAATTCTGGACCAAGTCTGAAAAGACGTTTAAAAACGTCTTTGGGAGTGAATGAGTTAAGAGGGGGCACATGAGGGTATGTTCCATCTACAGGAGGATCACAATTTTCAGCCACCTGGTAAGGTCTATTCAGGGGTGCTGAAGAGGCGGGACTATCAGAAAGTCAAATAATTGTAATGTGGTTTTTATTCTGGTGGTGGGACAGTGGACCAGCTCTATACCCTCAGCAGGGTCCTCATGGGGCGCATGGGAGTTTGCTCAACCAACCTCCATTTGTTATGTGGAACTGAAGATGATTGGCAGTTTCCCTCAGGGAGTTCTGTGAGGTGGTGCGTCAGGAGACTTGCTTGGCTTGAGACTTGCACAGCATTGAATATGGCTGTTGCACTCTCATTCGTGCTCAGTTTATGATTTGATTTTCAAACAATACACTGGTGTCAAACATTGCATTATTCCTAAATTACCTCCGGTGTGGTGTGAGATGGTGACCCAGCCATCGATGCTTTCGGTCTGGGGGCAACATCAGACAAGAAACGAGCCCAGAGGTCATCGGATTGTTTCTTTTGTGCACCTTTCTCATCATTCTGTACTTGTGCCAGTTTTTCCACATCTTCGGTACCATCACCATTCTTCTCCTCTTTGTCTACTTTAACCACACGTTTTGGTCTCTTTCTGTGGAGAATCACACAAATCAGTTGTTATAATATATACCGTATTGGCCCGAATATAAGACTGTGTTTTTTGCATTGAAATAAGACTGAAAAAGTGGGGGTCGTCTTATATTCGGGGTCTAGACATTATACCCATTCACGACGCTAGATGGCGCCAGACATCATTGAAGCGAATGCTGAACTTGACTCCCCAGGTCAAAGCGAAGCCCTGTCACGAAGAATAAAAATAAAAAGAGCGGTAGCACGAAGAAGAAAAATAAAAAATAGCGGTAAGAAAGAAAAGAGAAGAAAAAAATAGAAGAGATAACAGAAAATGGAGAAACGTAGCGACAATCTGGAGAAAAGTGACAATCTGGAGAAAAGATCGGCCAGGTTAACCGGCAGCTGAGGAGAAGTTATGATGTCATTTACATTTCAAAAAACAGAAACCATTCATTTACGAATGTGACTGCACTTTAGTTTACATATTTAAATGTTCAGATATTAAGATTTGAATGAGGCAAAATAACATGCTTTTTCTCTCCAATATATTTTTATCATCATTTGTTTCAGATGTACTGTAATTATTTTCTGTATAAAAATTAATTTGGTGTTCAAAAAGTCTTTTTTCAAACTTGAGTCTTGAAAAAGAGGGGGTCGTCTTATAATCAGGGCCGTCTTATATTCGGGCCAATACGGTAATACACACATTTACACAAATATACATATATCACACAAAAAACAGTGTTGAATGGGCCAGCTGTGTGAATTTTAGGTTATCATAGCATTTAGCATGGTTTTTTTCATCTTTTTCATCATCCCTTTGTGAGTATGATGCTTGTCAGAAATGTAGCTTTTTCACCGTCACGAAGGCGATGATTACTAACTTAGGAGCGACACCACATGTTAAGACACACTCGTAGCCGGCAAAAGCTGTTGCTGGGTCGCTGCTTCTGCGTAAATAGCACAGAATAGAGATTCCTTCGACATCTGACTACCCGCAGGAGGTGATGTGAGGCCAGCAAAGCATTTTGAGACCATCTCAGTGGTTCTTCTTTCTTTTAAAGGTTGCCATTTTGCTATTCAATGGGTTTGAAGGAGGCGCAAGATGAAACATTTTGACATGTAAACTATGATTTCAAGCCTTGTAATAAATATCGATCTATCTATTTATGCGTGTTTGTGTATGTGGGCTTATTGCCTTCATATCTACACTTATTGTTTATTTAAAAAAAAAATCAGTGCATTTCTTTAAAAAAATGACATTCCCAATGTGGTACAGTTTATATATATATATATATATATATATATATATATATATATGTGTGTGTGTGTATATATATATATATATATATATA